TACAGCTGGGATATTGCCGAGTGCGGCGTTAAACAACAAACACATTAACAAGCATAATACTTTCAAAATATTATGTATTCTTAGTGAAACAAGTTCTACCCCACAAAATAAAATGTTCAATTCAGTATGGAAATTACAATCACATCTAAATGATACAGTTGCATTTATCGTTCGCTTTCGATTCAAATTCTTTTTAGCGCGGTAAGCTATACAGTTAACTATGCAGCGCATCTATACACCCTATACAACCTGTTTGTATAAGTCTCGTGCAGGGCGTCAAGTTGTCTAGACTACAGCCCATTGTGCATTGTACTACATGCTTTGCTAAAAAGTGAATATGAATAAAATGTCACAATTATGCATTTATCTTTCCCCATTATGCTTCTTATAGCCACCCGGCGAACCTGCAAACTGTGCTGGGAGTCAGGCATCAGTATGGAATCCTTGAAGGGACATTGTCGCAATGTCGTGGTGACGCGCATAGGTACGGCTGGTCGAACGAGCCACAATTTGTTGTGCAGGGTTGCACAGTATTTTTTCTGATCTCTTTGTATAATCACGTTGTGAAATGTGGAAATCTCTTTGATGATAGAACAAGTGAAACAGTTTGTTATTCGGTCAAACAAAGAATCAAATACCAATTGTGTAGACCGATGCTCATGATGTTGATCACTACAGGGTTGTCTTAGAGCAAACAACAAACACCACATTCCTCAGAATAAATGGTTAAACCGGCTTCACGCATTGTACCACATATGGGGAATCGAAATCGAGTCTTCGGCGTGACGAGCGAAAACGCTTTAATCCACTAGGCGTGACGAGCGAACGTTTTAACCTAGGCTACCCCATCGCCCTTTAATGTGTGAAGAACGTCCAAGACGCCCGCCGTAGTGATATTCCTGGAATATTGCTAAAAACGGCGTGCAACTACACCCAATCACGCAATCTATAGATTGAACTACGAATGTTAATGGGAACAGGTGCTTGTTTATCAAAAATAGTCCGACTAACAGTAGTCCACGGTCGCCTATGGATGTCCTGTATTTTCACCTCTTCTCTTCACGCGAACATCTAGTTTTGGACATGGACAGCGAACGTATAACAACAGGGATACTTATATAGTTTCCCTGATAATAATAACAATAGTTATAATGCGATGAAAAGAAGACATTGGATCCTTTCATACAGCGATGAGTTTTTATACAGTGATGAGCTTGACTGCCCACAGACACTTTATATGGAAATGAAAAACGGGTACTAATTCAACTGCTCTTCGACCCGTGAAGATCTGGATTAGAATTCATCTTCAGCAACCCATGGTTGTCGTAAGAGGCGACTAACGGGGTCAAGTGGTCAGGCTCGTTGACTTGGTTGACACGTCATCGTATCCCGATTCCGTAGATCGATGTTCATGCTGTTGATCACTGGATTGTCTGGTCCAGATACGATTATTTACAGACCGCCGCCATATAGCTGGAATATTGTTGAGTGAGGCGTTAAACAACAAACAAACAAAACAAACGCGGCCCAGTATCTCCAACAACTGATGCATGTCAGTGAATCTGGTACATGTAGTTATCAATTGCCTTTATGGCTGCTTTGTGTATTGTACCTTTTTAAATGTTTTACTGAGCGTTTTTATGTCTCATAGGCCTTTAGGCCGGGTGCCTGAATAAAATACGCCAATTATTTTTTCATGACCATGACTTATATATATAAGTATATACAGTGCACGTGACATCTATGTAAAATAATATTATTATTATTATTATTCTATTAATATGGGAATGGATGTGTTTTTAGATCTCAGGCCTGAAGTGTTGCTGACTTTATCAAGAGGGGGTCAGTTTGTTCCAGAGTACGTGTGCTGCACGATGACACGAGCGGTCACCCAGTTCAATTCATTTACATCGTATCCTGTTTTCCTATGTACTCTGAAACAACTCTACATAGAGCAGGGAGTTTTTGTTTAGTTGTCGGAAGTACTGGGTCGCTTCTGTTATACAGTACCAACCATAGTGGAGTGGACGGGTGACTGTTTACGACACTTTCACTGTAATATTCAAACATTATCATTGCGATAGCTTCCTGAGTTTTTGGAGATCGGTTTTCAACAGACTTCCAGACCCAGACATATTTCTAAAATCGCTGTTTACCCCCAGCAGACCGTGAGAATATTCCGAAAGCGGCGTATTTCTAAAACCGCTGTTTACCCCAGCGCTTACAAGAGGAAATACGGTATTTAAATAACGCCATACTGCGTATACCTGTGGAGCAAGTGGAAATATTGCTGTTGTTATGATAACTATATTTTTTTTTACAATGTTTACAAATTGTATTGTACACATTTACAGTTCACCAGAAAACATTTCACAGACCTTTAGCAGCACGTGATACAAAGTAACCAATCAACGGATAGTTCCCAGTTCAAATCAACGGATAAAACAATTCCCAGTTACCAACCAATCAACGGATTCCCAGTTACAAATCAACGGATAAAACAATTCCCAGTTACCAATCAACGGATAAAACAATTTCCAGTTACCAATCAACGGATAAAACAGTTCCCAGTTACCAATCAACGAATATAACAGTTCCCAGTTACCACTCAACGGATAAAACAATTCCCAGTTACCAATAAACGGATAAAACAATTCCCAGCTACCAATCAACGGATAAAACAATTCCCAGTTACCAATCAACGGATAAAACAATTCCCAGTTACCGGTCAACGGATAAAACAATCCCCAATTACTGGTCAACGGATAAAACAGTTCCCAGTTACCAGTCAACGGATAAAACAATTCCCAGTTACCAATCAACGGATAAAACAATTTGTCAACGTTAAAACAGTTCAGCAGATAAAACAATTTCCAGTTAACAATCGACGGATAAAACATTTCTTATTTACCAGTCAACGGATAAAACAATTCCCAGACAGATACTAACAAATGAAGCAATTCCAAGTTCCAAGTAAATGTAACAATTCACTATTAACGAAAAACACCAAAACAATTGACAGTTCACTAAAACAGATAACATTTCAAAATTCATCATTCACAGTTTACAATCAACAAATTAATCAGTTGTCAGTTTACTGTTAACAAATACGACAGTACTTAACATTAAAGTTCACCTTGAACACATATCAATTTCACATTGAAACTGTTTGTTACAGTTCGCAATAATGCCAAGCCATTGTCGCGATCAGTCAGCGCGCTCTTCCCTCCCTTGCATTGACCAACTGAACGCTTCGCGACTGAATTATCAAGGTAGATAACTCTAATGGCTTTAGTTACAGCCATAAATATTTGTCGGTAGAGGGACCTACAACAGTCCATTGACTTAACATTTCGTTATTTATTTACAAACCGGCTGTGTTTTTAGTTATGCATGTAAAATATATGTTATGTACAACCAGGTAATATATGATGATCAGCAAGTACGTATAATTAACACGGAAACTGAGGTTCTTTTAAGCATTGGCAATTCTAAACTTACATTATTCATACTTCCTTGCACATACAACATAGACAGAACAGCCCCACACCCATGTTTTCACCTGACCCAATGTAGTTTATTTTTCAGATTCCTTAGCATCCTCAATCATAATACGATAAGCTGCTCACATAAAAATACAACCTATTACAGAGGCCCGTCTTTCACCAACTTGATCAGCATGATCTAAGAAAGAAGAAAAATCACAAACAAAAGGCGACAAATATAAATATATTTGAACGAACAAAGCGGAGGTAGATCTGCAACTGATGTAAGCCTGGCAAAATGACAGTGACATGGGGGTGGTCTCTCTTGTCGTATGGATAAGAATTAGACTCTTTTAAAGCCAGTCATGTCTTCTTACTTCATCCAATACAATTGTATAATGTGTCTGAGCGGGTATTCATGCTTCACTGCGGCGTGGTATCTCAGTGAGCTAGCACTATAACACCAGCTTAAGTCTGGGCTAGTACAAGCAGCCGCACATACACATACACACGCATGCACGTCGTCATATGAGCGAAATATTCTCAAGTACGCCATTAACCCCATTTCATCTCACCTCCATTATAATTGGTTGGTTTGTTGTTTAACGCCGCACTCAGCAATATTCCAGCTATATGGCGACGGTCTGTAAATAATCGAGTCTGGACCAGACAATCCAGTGATCAACAGCATGGGCATCAAGCTACGCAACTAGGATACGATGACATGTGTCAACCAAGTCAGTCGCCTCTTACGACAAGCATGGGTTACTGAAGACCAATTCTAACCTAGATCTTCACTTGTTTCATCCAATATAAATATACGTTTAGAATGTTTGCTTTCTGGTGTCTCCAGAGGATATTGTAGTGTGTTAAGTCACCCCACGTACATTGTATTTAAAGATTTTCTAGTGTTTAACACATTCTAACTTTTCTTGGGTATTTGATAATGTCATAACTTATAAATTCATCTTCCAAGAAAATAATTTTTTAAAAATGAATCTTATTTTTTTAGTCAAGTGAAACGTTTCAATTTTTCGTCAGAATTTAGATTTGATGTTTCCAGTCTCTAGAAAAGATTTGTGCGTTTTCGTTCCACTTCCTCCAACCTCTTCGTTACAAATTACCTATCCGTTGATTGATGTCCACGGAGTTCGTTTTAAAAAGGGAAAATGTACACAGTTTGGGAGATTATACATTATATATGTTTAACGAAATAGTTCTCACAATTAGAGACATATATTTATGATTTGACCTTAGTACACACACGTGTGCATTAAGTGTACATCTAGCTAGGTGACTGCAGTTTCTAGAAATTGCTCAGCTAATGACTTAATTTGAGGCGCAAATTAACCGCGAGCTATGCCAGAAATTATAAGCACGTGAAACTCGTGCATGTCAAAAATTGACTGATCAGCTGTTGAGCCGAGAGGTGAAATCTACACAGCTTTCGGGGAACACATTGCAGAATAATATCAATTATAGAGAACCACGTGACGAACTCAACCAATCACCAACAAGCAGCGTTGAGCATTATCATAAAGCACAACCCAGCAGTCATCTTTGTCTCTGTTCATATCGTCTACACCGGATAACATTAGCTGGACTAAATTTGAGCACATTCTTAACAATTTTCCTTACCCAACAAAACGGATTTCATAATTTCCAGGTGAGTACCAAAGGATTATTTCGTTCATTTGAACATTCTAGTATCAAAATTATTTCCTAAAACAAAATGTCGGATCAAGTCATTCCCATTTTATTTATCTAGAATACACATTTTTCGATATGTCACATGTAATGTTGTCCTTATGAAAGATAAAATCAATTTTCCCATTGCTAAGGGACAGCTGTGGCTATTTTTATTACAGGTCGATATATACCCATACAAATAGTATCCGTTATCAACCCACACCGGCCATTGGTGATCAACTTCCCGAGTAGTTTCGTTAAGGTTAAGCAACCTTCAGCATATCGTTTATAAAGAACAAAACGAGGACTTTATACGTGAAACTGTTCCGAAACAGAATCAAAAATATATATTTACATGGCCCAAATTAAACAGCTGATGAACGGCATGTTTCATCTACCGGTACCGTTACGTTGCCCCGTGGATACATTTACACACAATGTGTCATTTATTAAATATATGTCGCCGTTGTGGATCAAAATCCATTGTTTCGATGCCCGTACAGAGTCCAATGCCGGAAAAAATATGCAAGGTGCCGATCGCATGTGTCATAATAACAATACAATATTATATATCTCATATTATCCAGAAACATTCAAACCGGGAAATTATATGGTATCGTTATCATCATCTTTTCCGTGTACAGTTTATTTATAATTTGAATGTCGAAATATTTGTCCACATCGGCTAATACAATGTTCGTGTGATTCATTTCGTAAAATCCACAGGAAACATGGGTAAATATTTGTTACAAATAACGTGTGAGGACATTCAATAAATCCACACAAAGCTCCCTTGAAGGTACAGCGTTATAGGAATATCGACAACAATGCGTAAACAATAGCAACACATGATCGAACTCGTCTACCTCACTAAAACTATGCATGATATCAAGTTTGATCAGTTCAGGCCTTTTATGTTTGTACGATCATGTAGAAATTCATGAATCACGACTGTTGAACATTTGTGGGAATATTTAAAAAAAACATTTCATGAAAGATGCTACTGTTTTGTTGAATTCGTTTAAAATGCATGTGAAACCTTGTTGCCAAACGTCGGTCGCCATGTTTGACTGTAGCTACAGTCGAGGATGAGCTGTAGGAATGTCAGTTAAAACAATCAGCCTCAAGATGTTCCTCTATCTCTCAATCTCCCCCTACGTCCGTATGTTTACGTTGCTTGAATGAGAAACAAGACCCCCTGTCGGGAACAGAGGGCTGGCACGCGACTGGGGTCTGGTGTTACTGACTACTTCACCACCCCTCTCCTACTTCCCCCTCCAACCTCCCGACAGTCCCGACCACGCTGATACTCAAAAACACTGTACACACAGACCTAGACTAACGCTTAGTCCCTGAACATATATAATTTTAAAATAAACCCATTTAAATTGATGAGGAGCCACAGTAAGTTGGGAGATTCGGCCTGGTGATATCTAGACTTGCTTCATTTAAAGCTTTAGCATTGCAGGGAGGGCTAGGCAGTAGGGAAATAATGTGGTTCAGGGACTGTGAGACAGACTAACACAAGCCCTGCTACAGCTGATATTTGTTTAACTTTATAACGGTAATATATCATATTACAAACCTTATAGTGATACATGTTGCCGGGATGTGTTTATAATTATGATGTTAGTACCTGCTTTTTTTCGGGTTAGGCTCATTCATAAATATATACATGTATGTGGGGCTTTTAAATGGACCGGAAGCCTTCTTAAGAAAACGTCAGGTTTGTGGTGATTCTACCACAGTTCTAATGCCACTGCTGCAACAATAGCAGCAAGAAGTACTACTGCTACTACTACTACTACTACTACTACTACTACTACTACTACTGCTACTATCTTACTACTACTACTACTAACTGCTGCTGCTACTACTTTGCTACTACTACTACTACTACTACTACTACTACTACTACTACTACTACATGTACTACTACTACTACGACTACGACTCTAATTGTTCTACAATAGTTCGACACTACACTTACAATAACTACATGTATATATACATATTCAAACCGAATCACACCCCACCCCACCACCCACCACCTATTCCCCACCCCCCCCCCTCACACACACGTAGGATGACTTCATGGTGAGTCTAGGCCTCCACCATTGTTTGCTCCAGGCAAGTCTAGGTACACGTATCTGCAACATCTGGTATGTTTCACGGGCAATAACCCATCAACCAGGGCCTCATCTATATCTATACACGATACAGTCACCGAGTAGAGGGACGTGTAGAGGCTCATCTATATCTATACACGATACAGTCACCGAGTAGAGGGACGTGTAGAGGCGCTAGTTGGTTTCAACCCTTCTGTTCAATTACCCAGTCGTAGTACTTCTTAAGATTGTTACAATAAAGTTGACAAAAAAATTCCTTTAAATTTCAATGACACGTGTACTTTTTAATGATCAGTGTGAGGTTTAACGTACTGTCACTTCGACTAAGGAACAATGAACTGTCAACAATACAACGGGAATAATATACTCATGCCAATAATGATTGTCACCCCCTTCAATTTTTTTAATTGGAGAGGGGATGTGAGGTGTGAGGTGTGGGGGTTGGGGTGTGGAGGGGGGTGACAACCATTATTGGCATGAGTATATAAACATACATACTTGTTTCGTTGTTATATATTTTGATAATCCTTTTTCGTTTGCGTGTTAGATGGTATTAAATATTTCAAATCATTATTATATATTCATGTATAAAGAACGTGATTTGTGTTTAATGGAAGTGTATATTTTTGTTTAATTATTCAATTTATGCATTCTTTACGAGCATTTTCATTTTTCTTGATTGTTTCGGTTTATTATTGATAAAAGGAAGAAAATATTTCATCTGATTTATATGGATATGTGTTAATGTGTCCAATCAATACATTTGATCATGTCACCGGTTAACAATGTTGGTTGAGCATAACTCAGCAATGCGTCCAGCAGTACCGACTTCGGTAATTCGGCGTAATTCAACCATCCTGGATATGGGTAGAATGGCTTGCTTCAAAGGTTATGATTGGTGGTCTTAAAGACTAAGGTATTTCGTAAAATGATTGATATTTATGGTTTTACGTCACCCTAAGGATTGTGGGAATATCAGGGCGGGGGACATACGAAATGAGCTTCAAGTATTGTACCTATGCCAGGACTCGAATTTAACTATTGTTCAACCACCATCACCCCTTTTCTTACAAAATAAAAGTTCCTGCATGTATGAATGTGATACAACAACAAAAGCCAATAGTTTCAGCTGCATGTGTGATGAGATACGTATGCGACCCGACTGTGTGTGTTTACCTATACGTATAAGTAACAGTGTACCTGCCGACCTCTTCAATACCTGTAGCAGCGAAGGCGCGAAATGAAAATACGGTAAAGAAACTATACATGTAGTATGGAAGTGATAATTAACACAGGAATGTAAACAAAACAGTTTTGTGCTACACCCGAACAAAAGTACATGGAGGAATTAGTACAGTCATGCGAGGTTTAGTCCTGTGAATGACGAACATTCTCTTGTCAGTCACCAGCATAACATTGGGAATGAATCGGCTCCGTCCGATAATTGAGTTTATTTAAGGCGTTGTGGCGTGGGGTGGGTGACAAAGGACAGGACTTTTTTAAACAGTTAATACTTACTCGACAACTGTGGTATATAATAACACACTGGTGGGTCAGTGCAAAGCAGAGTGTTTCCAAAGAGATCGACGGAACTAATTTTATCAAACCCGAACGCGGAACTGTCCTGTAATACCGTTGGTAAGAGGAGAGAGAGAGAGAGAGAGAGAGAGAGAGAGAGAGAGAGAGAGAGAGAGAGAGAGAGAGAGAGAGAGAGAGAGAGAGAGAGAGAGAGAGAGAGAGAGATGCTAGGACAGCTAATACAGATTATTTGTAAACTGTCGTCATTATGGCTAAGTTATATTAATTGTAGTATTTCTTTATCTAGACAATGCCGCTCCGTTTAGACAAGGTGGGTTCATCATTGATCTGCTTTAAGAAGAATACAGGTAGAATTGTGCGTTAAAGTAGCTGGTTTATAACATATCATCATACATACAGCATATTGTGTATACTATGTAAACTTGGTTTCCATGGGCGACAAGATCGTTAACTAGGGTTGTTGCTGCTGGTCGTTTGTCTAATGAACATCGGCTCATAAGGAGGGCAGAGAGGCAGGAAATCCTCTCCGATACTTCAACTGTGCCTTGACTTGGCAGGAAACAGCTGGTTACAGCATGTATAGTACCGTGCTTGGCCGGTCAAGCGCTCATTGTCTCTCTGTCGTCATTTTAGACCAACATCTAGTCTCTGAAATTAACATATTTTCAGAAACTATGTTAACATATACTTTCACATATTCAAAACTTGCATGTTCGTTCTTCGGTGTATTTGTTTCGGGGTCTGTACGACAGGCTATCGTCAGTTCTATTAGGTGTTATACGACTAAAACCAGCCTTGCTCCGATGCTGTAATGAACGCTAAGCCCATGAATGTATAGTAATTCTAACCTTTTAAGAGGCAAGTCTAGATAAACTGACAGTACAGTCTAAGGACGCCAGTCTGTTAGAGGAATATGTGTATTTTTTAGAAATTATCATTTGAACTATTAATTATTACCTTAGAGACTTTGCACTGCTTTAACTATATGCAGGAAGTCTGTTTGTTTAATGAGCTTGTTTCTCTTGACTATGACCTTATGAGTGTCGAAAGGTATAGGAACTTTACTTATGTGTCTCAAGCAATTAATTAGATAAATAGTTTTTAATATATTGAACTGATGAAAATCATTTAGGAAAACTGAAAGGTAAAAATACCGAAGAAGAGACGATTACGATGAATAGCCACCCAGGAGCTTACGGGACGATGCGAGTGAGTGAATTGGTCAGTGAGGTTTAACGCCGCTTTTAGCAATATTCCAGCAAACCACGGCAGAGGGACGATGATAGAAGATCAATACAGGTACATCAAA